TGTTGACCAGGATGGTCTCGATCTCCTGACCTCGTGATCCACCCGCCTCGGCCTCCCAAAGTGCTGGGATTACAGGCTTGAGCCACCGCGCCTGGCCATGAAGCTTTTTGTTTTTATTTTAATTTATATTTTTGAGACACGGTCTTACTCTGCCCCGAGGCTGGAGTACAATGCTGTATCTTGGCTCACTGCAGCTGTCACCTCCTGGGTGCAAGCAATTCTCATGCCTCATCCTCCTAGGTAGCTGGGACTACAGGCATGCACCACCACACGTATCTAGTGTTTGTATTTTTAGCAGAGAAGGGGTTTCACCATGTTGCCCAGGCTGGTCTGGAACTCCTGGGCTCAAGTGATCTGCCCGCCTCAGCCTCCCACAGTGCTGGGATTACAGGCATGGACCACCATGCCCAGCCTACTTTGAAGCTTTTAATCAGATTTTGGGGTAGGGGAGAGAGAAAGGCTGGTTGTTTTTTTTTTCTTTAAAATTATTATTATTATTATTATTTTTTGAGACCGAATCTCACTCTGTCGCCAAGGCTGGAGTACAGTGGCACAATCTCGGCTCACTGCAACCTCAACCTCTCAAGTTCAAGCAGTTCGCCTGCCTCACCCTCCATGCCCAGCTAATTTTCCACCCACCTCGGCCTCCCAAAGTGCTGGGATTACAGGTGTGAGCTACCACTCCCAGCTGTTTTTTCTTTAAAATTACATATATTTATGTTAAAAAAAAAAAAAAAAGAGCATGAGTCCATTTAAGCAATAACATGTTAATGTGGCAAAAGGAGGCCCACAAGTGACTGACATTTTGGCCACACTGGCATGGACTGTGCACTCCCTCCACTCCACATAGGTGACCAATGGGAAGTCTTATTTGTGCCTCATAAGTGTGTCCAGACACAGCTGGCCATGCGATAATGCAGAGCACACATCTGCTGAAGACACGGTTGCTAAGCGTCAACCGAGTGCCAGTTGTCAGCCCAGATTCCTTGCCCTATAGGAGCTCCTACTTCTGGAAGAATGGGATGAGCAGAGTCTGTTACGCTGCAGTATGACATGGGTGGCACTAGGGAGTGATCACAGAGTGCTTTGGGAGGGCCACGCAACCCAGCCTGGGGTGGAGGAAAGGTAGTGGTCACCAGAACTGAGTCCTGAAGGCCTGAGAGGAATTAGCCAGCAGAGGAGGGAGGTGAGCGGGCAGAAGGTCAGCACATGTCCACAAGCCACCTTTCTGGTATAGATGTGTATTTCCAGCTGTTGTCATTTTCCCTTTGCCTGAAGGACTTCCTTCTACATTTCTTGTAGGGTAGATTTCTTGGTGATGAATTCTTTCCACTTTGATATCTGAAATATCTTTAGTTCATCTTTGTTTTGGAAAGATATTTTTGCTGGGTATAGAATTCTAGATGGGCATTTTTTTCTTTTACTACTTAAAAGACAATACTCCACAGTCTTCTCACTTGCATTGTTTCCAACAAGAAATCTAACGTCTTATCTTTGTTTCTCTGTAAAAAAAAGACATGTGTCTTTTTTGTCTCACTGTTTTTTGAGATTTTCTCCTTGTCACTGGTTTTGAGCAATTTGATTATGATGTACCTTAATACAGTTTTCTTCATGTTTCTTGTGTTTGGTGTTCACTGGGCTGTTGGGTCTGTGGATTTATTATTTTTATCAAGTTTGGAAATTTTTCATTCACTATTCAAATATATTTGTGCCTTCTCTTGTCTCACTTTTTTTTTGTTTTTCTCATCTTGAGACAGGGTCTTGCTCTGTCTCTCAGGCTGGAGTGCAGTGGCACGAACACAGCTCACTGCAGTCTCAACCTCCTGGGCTCAAGTGATCCTCCACTTCCTCAGTCTTGTAAGTAGCTGGGACTACAGGCTTCAGCCACCACATCTGGCTAATTTTAAAAAAAATTTTTTGTAGAGACAGGGTCGTGCCATGTTGCCTAGGCTGGCCTTGGACTCCTGGGCTCAAGCAATCCTCCCACAGTGCTAGGATTATAGGTGTGAGCCACTGTGCCCAGCTCATCTCACTTTCAGGAACTCTCATTGCATGGAAATCAGGCTGCTTAAAGTTGTGCCTTAGCTCACTGATGCCTGTTCACGTTTAAAAATGATTTTTCTGCCTCTGTTTCATTTTGGGTAGTTTCTATTGCCATGTCTCCAAGTTCATTAATCTTTTCCTCTGCAGTATCTCTTCTGGCACTGATCTCACCCAGCGAATTTTGATCCCTGACATTTTAGTTTTCCTCTCTAGAAGCTTGATTTGGATTTTTTCTTTTATCTTCCACTTCTCTACTTTTGAGACTTATGGAATACAAATACAAGGGCTACTTTAATGCTCTTGTCTGCTCATTCTCATATCTGTTTCAGCTCTGGCTCAGTTTGGATGGCCTGATCTTTCTCCTCCTTCTGCATATTTTCCTTCTTTGCATGTCTGATCATTTTTTTATTGGGTACCAGGTATGATCAATTTTATCTTCTTTTTGGGTTTTAGATATTTTTGTGTGCCCGTAAATAATTTCAAACTTTGTTCTAGGATGCAATTAAATTACTTGGAAACAGTTTGATCCTTCCAGATCTTGCTTTTAAGATTTGGGGGCAGCACCGGGGCAGGGGTTGCCCTGGATGAATCATTCCTCACCAGCAAAGCCAGCGGCTTCTGAGATCCTACCCAATGCCCTGTGTATCATGAGTGAGCTTTCCCAGCCTGGCTGGTAGGGACATACGCAGTCCTGTGTGAGACACAGGCACCATTTTCTCTAGTTATTTGGTGCGGTTCTTTCCCAGGCTCAGGGAGTTTCCGCCCTTACGTGCACTAGCAGTGGTCTATTGAGTACCAAGGGGACCCTCCACAACCTCCACAGCTCTTTCTCCATGCAGCCTTTTCCTTTCTGATTCTCTGTCCTGTGGACTGTGCTCCTGGGTCTCCCCAGGGTCCTAGCTCTGTCTTCCCAATTCAGGGATCCTACAGGGCTCCACCTACATTTCCCTCATATTAGTCAGCTCAGACTGTCATACAATAGCAGAAACTTTTTCTCACTGTTTGGGAGGCTTGAAGCCTGAGATCAGGGTGCTGGCAAGTCCAGTTTCTGATGAGGGCTCTCTCCCCAGCTTGCAGACGGCTGCCTTCTTGCCGTGTCCGCCCATGGCCTCTCCTCTGTGCTTGCATGGAGAGGGCACTCCGGTGCCTTTTCCTCTGATAAGAACACCAGTGCCGTCAGATCAGGGCCCCCTCTGAGCTCATTCAACCTTAATTAATTACCTCCTTACAGGCCCTGCCTCCAAATACAGTCACACTGTGGGCTAGCACCTCTTTTTCATATGAATTTGTGGGGGACACACTTTAGTCCATCCCCCGTGCCCACAGTCTGGAAGCGTCAAAGGCAGTACGCTGGGGGCAGTCGCAGGGGCCACCTCGCTTGTTTCCTGTGTCTCAGAAGTCATTGTCCTTCACTGCTTGATGTCCAGTGTCCTGAAAGCTATTGTTTCATAGTTTGGTTTTCCGGGTGTTTCAGGTGGGAGAGTGTATCTTAAAGGCTACTTTTTTAAATGATAGGCTGTGAGCATTTCATCTGTGTGCGTGTGTGTACTTTGGTTTGTATATTATTATTATTATTATTATTTTTAAGACAGAGTCTTTCTCTGTCCTCCAGGCTGGAGTGCAGTGATGCCATCTTGGCTAACTGCCACCTCTGCCTCCCAGGCTCAAGCAATTCTCCTGCCTCAGCCTCCTGAGTAGCTTGGATCACAGGCGCACACCACCACACCTGGTTAATTTTTGTATTTTTAGTAGAGACATGCGTTTACCATGTTAGTCAGGCTGGTCTTGAACTCCTGACCTCGTGATCTGCCCGCCTCGGCCTCCCAAAGTGCTGGGATTACAGGCATGAACCACTGAGCCCGGCTGTATAATAAATTTTTTTGAGGCAATACCTTCATCACTGAAAGCAAAACCTATATAAAGCCAGACTTACAAAGATTTGCCAGAGATTTGCTTCACTTTCGTAGAATCCAAGGCAAATAACCAGGCTACAGAATCTTTAGGGTCAGGTAAAATTCAGCCTGTGTTTCAGCAGAGGCCAGGGCAGCGTTCAGCCTCCCCACACGTCCTTGCGGTGCCAAATCACTTTGATGTCTGCTGATTGATTTCAAATTGCACAAATATATACCTTTCAAAGCCATGGCCTCCAGGGGCAGCGTGAGATATATTCCAGGTGGGTTGACTTTTAATCAATACGATGACAATATTATCTTGTTTAATTTGTATGATGGTGGTTTTAAACATCAAATCAAGCCATTTATTATGTCAAATAGAAGATGAAGAGCCCAGGAATAAAACTCTCCTGACATCACTTCTGAGCATATTTCACTTCCGTGACAGGCCGTCATGATTGGGGACGATATCGTGGGTGATGTCGGCGGTGCCCAGCGGTGTGGAATGAGAGCGCTGCAGGTGCGGACCGGGAAGTTCAGGTCAGTGCCAGCTGGATGCACTCATTCACCTTCCTTCCAGGGGATGGCCACGTTCTCATTCTGTTTTGTTTTTCAAAGTAAAGGGAGTATTCTTTCCAAATCAAAGAGCCGTGTGTGGGCATTCACCATGTTGTATGTAATGGACCTCTAAGAACAGGGCTGGGTGGTCTTGCGTAGCAGACAGTGATAAGGTAGAGTGGCTTTTGATACAGGGTCTGAGTTTTGAAACGGTGTGTGGTGCAGAGAGAAGTAATTAAAGGCACTGTTCGTTGTGGCGGCCGCCCGCCGGGGAGCGGGGAGAATCTGTGCTGCTGTCCTTTCGGCAGTTTGAGCAGACCCTGCGCTGTGGCAGTTACAGCTGTGTAGCTGTCCAGCCCCTCGGACAGCCTAGCTCTCTTGTGTTCACCTTCTCCACCGGTGACAGACAGCCTGGAGACGACACGAGGGTGCTCAGGGGTGCTCTGGAACAGAACCCCCATCTTGAGAAGAAGCTTGTGTTTTATTTGCGGGGTCTAAAGTCTGCCTGGTCTGGAGCAGCCGCCAGGTGTTGGGAGCTCCGGGGCATGTGAAGGGCCCCGTGGTGCCCGGGCTCCAGCCCGCTTTGTTGTCAAGAGGATCTTGGACATCAGAGTGTCATCTTGCCTTATGTTCGATGGTTATGATTGTGGCCATTCAGAGAAAGTACATCTTTGTAGATGCTGGGGAAACTTGGTTGAAACATGGTTACCTGGAGTACTTGGATTTGGGGCAGGGGCAGTTGCATTTGTTCTGAGAGGTCTGCTTAGGCAGGACCAGAGAAGACAGAGCAGAGGGCCCGACCATCGCTCTGAGGGCCCTCCTGCAGGTTAGGGACCGTGGCTGAGTGCAAGGTGAGTGAGGAAGGCTCAGCATACCTGGGTCCAGGGTCAGGAAGTTGGTCCCTTCCAGCCACCTCCCAGACCCTTCCAGGCTTGGGGGTCCCCATGGAGCCTCTGGTATGCGTGACATACGGGCCTTCTTTCTTCCTTGAAGTTTGGTTTCGTGGCTCCCTGTGGTGAGGCCTGGCCTAAGGGAGTGAGGGAGACACACTCACAAGCCACAGGAACATGTTTTCCAAAAGGCCAGCCAGGGGCCCCCAGGTCCCCTTTCCTGCCTTTCCTGCCAAAGTGGCAGAGCCTGGTCCTGCTGCTGCTCCCAGTTGAAGGCTCCCCACTGACAGTGGACCTCAGGGACCTGTAGTTGATGTCGGGTGCTGCCTGGCATCAGCCATCAGGAGACCAGCCCAGCTCATATCTGTGACCCGTGAGCACAAGTGACTCCTCCCTGCTTCGGAACACAGCGGTGTGGCTTGGCAGAAGGTGGAGAGGGAGGGAGAACCATACAGCGTTGTGCACTGGGCTGCTTCCGGTTCCTTGGAGGAAAAACATGTCTGTCCTGCATGCCACCTCAGTTGGGGCCAGCCTAGGCCAGGTAATCCCTATAAACTGAGAATCCCCCTACAGCCCACGAATGAGCAGGTGGCCATGGGGGAGCTGTGCCCACCCTACACCAGCAAGGGTTGGTGCTTTTCGGATTCCAGTTACCTGCATGCCGTTTAAAGAAGAGTATGGGGTGGGCATCCCCATGACTGTGTCTTCCAGAGAGAGAAACTTTTTTTTTTGAGGTGGAGTCTCCCTTTGTCACCCAGGCTGGAGCGCAGAGGTCCAATCCTAGCTCATTGCAATCTCTGCCTCTCAGGCTTAAGTGATTCTCCTGTCTCAGCCTCCTGAGTAGCTGGGACTACAGATGTGCGCCACCACGCCTGGCTAATTTTTATATTTTTAGTGGAGATGGAGTTTCACCATGTTGGCCAGGCTGGTCTTGAACTCCTGACCTCAAGTGATCCACCCACCTCAGCATCCCAAAGTGTTGCGATTACAGATGTGAGCCACCGCACTTGGCCCCAGAGAGAGAAACTATCAATGGTTTGCCAAATCCTTCCACACTGCCTTCTCTGTGTAGATAAAGACTGGTAATATTTTGGATTTTTCTCTTTTAAAAAAAAATGAGATGATATTGTATTGCGGCCTCCTTTTTTCTTGAACACTGTTTTATAGCATCTTTCTACAAGCATCTTCATCTTTTTTTTTTTTTTTTTTTTTTTTGGTAAGTTAATAAATTTTTTTTTTTTTTTAGGAACAGGTGGTTTTGGGTTATATGGATAAGTTCTTAAGCGATTTCTGAGGTTTTGATGCACCCATCACCTGAGCAGTGTACACTGTACCCACTATGCAATTTTATTCCTCACCCCTCCCACCCTTCCCTCCCCAGTCCCCAGAGTCCACTATATCATTCTTACACCTTTGTGTCCTCATAATGTAGCTCCCACTTAGAAGTGAGAACATGTGATGTTTGCTTTTCCAGACCTGAGGCACCTCCATTCTTTGAGGTCTGCACCTCCATCCAGGTTGCTGTGAATGCCATGATTTCATTCCTTTTTTATGGCTGAGTAGTATTCCATGGTATATGTATACCACATTTTTTTCTTTTTTTTTTTTTTTTAACTTTTAAGTTCAGTGGTACATGTGTAGGATGTGCAGGTTCATTACATAAGTAAACATGTGTCATGGGGTTTATTGTACAGATTCTTTCATCACCCATGTATTAAACCTTGTACCTGTTAGTTATTTTTCCTGATCCTCTCCCTCCTCCCCTCTCCACCCTCCAGTAGGCCCCAGTGTGTTATCCTGTGTGTCCATGTGTTCAGATGCTATAGGAAAGTAATCAGTTTAGTGCCAGGCACACAGCAAGCCCTCAGCAGATGGCCAGGGTGGGGAACATGTGTGGCCACTACCATGCATGTCTGCCTAGCTCCAGGAATGGAGTCACCTGCCTCAGTTGAAGAGAATGGGACTTAGCCTGTTTGTTCCTAAAGAGATTTAAAATGTCAGCTCTTTGGATGCGTTTGTCGGGATGCAAGTCTGCCTTTGTTAACATGCAGGACAAAGGGAGAAGGGTGTTAGCTTGGCTAAGGTGGGGACTGAGTCACTAAGGGAGACCATACGGGCATCAAAGGTGGTGGGGCTTTGTGTGTGTGGGTGTGCCCTGGTTAAAGGGATGGGAGGTCTCCCAGCCACTGGCAACAATCTGGACCTGCCCCTGCCCCTGCTGCAGAAGGGGCATAGCTGCTGCCCCTGGAAAGCTCACCTCAGTGCCGAACAGGGCTGTGCTGACTGCCACAGCTAGTGCTGCCCCTCGCAAAGGTGCCAGAGGGCTAGGGGTGGCCCCGGAAGGGCCAGGTGCTGTGTCAGACACAGTAGCTTCAAGCCGCAGGGGGTGACTCATAGCTCGTCCAGTGAGACGTGCAGGAAGTGTAAAACACACACTGGATTTCAGAGACTGAGTAGGGAGAAAGGATTTGAAAGAGCTCCTGAATATTTTTTTATATTGGCTACGTGTTGAAATGCTGATATTTCGTGTTCATTTCACCCCTTTATTTAAACTTTTGTAAATGTGGCTACTAGAAAAGGTTCGCTGGCCTCTGCAAGGGTGTTGGTGGCCCCAGGTGGCAGCTGCCCTCCTCCTGAACCGTCCCCTTCTCCCTCCAGATGGCACCCTCGGTGCACGGATGCACTGGAGCGCTGGAGGAGCAGGGGGCCCTGGATGAGCTGGGCTGCGGAGCCTGATGGGGCCTCGCTCTCTGGAGGGCCGTGTTGGGACTGGAAGTGCCTGTGTGGTGCTCCCTGTGGATGTGTGGCAGGCCCAGCAAACAGCCTCTGGAGTCAGCCAGGCACCCTGCCACTGGGCCAGAGTCCCTTCCCTCCAGGACATGCCCCCAGCCAGGCTCTATGAAGCAGCACCTCACCCTTCCGGGGCCACCCCCAGCCCTCTGGCACCTCTGTGAGGGGCAGCACTAGCTGGGCAGTCAGCACAGCCCCGTTCGGCACTGAGGTGAGCTTTCCAGGGGCAGCAGCTGTGTCCCTTCTGCAGCAGAGACATGTTGTCACAACCCTGTGCTGTGCCTCTCCTCTCCAAGGAGAGAGACCTTCCAGGAGCCAGTGAGCACTGGCTGGGTCAGCTGGGCATCGGGCGGCCTTCCAGGCTCCGTCCTCCATTGGTGGCCCTGGCCTAGCCTTGGCTGAATTGGGAGAGTGAAGAGGGAGGGGCAGTGGCCTTGTCCTGGGCCCAGGTGGCAGAGAGCCCTGTGGTGAGTAGATGCGCCCGCACTTGGTTTGAGGCCAGGGCAGGACGGGGAGGCGGTCCAGGCTGGGCTGGTTGGCCGATGGGGGCCGTTCAGCCAGTCCTGCCAGCCACTGGCACCAGGAAGGGAGGGAAGCCGGAGGGGCCTACTGAGGCCTCCCACTGGTTCTGAGCGGGGTGTGCCCTCAGTCAAGGTCTTCTAGTGCGGGGCATGTACAAGTAGACACACATGTACACACACGCACACACGATTGTATTTCTGAGGCAGCCATCCGGAGTCTGAGAGGCGGAGAGGGGCTGAGGATTGGGATTTGGCTGCTCTCTGGCGGTGGGATTTCCCTGTCACCGTGGGTGTATCCATTCCTCTTGCTTTCTTCCACTTTTCTTATAAACTGGCCCAAAGAGAGTGCAGCCTCGGGTTGGGAGAGATCGCCATGTGGCCTTGGCTCCAGAGGGAATGTTTTGCAGGGCCTGCTCCCCAGGAAAGCGTCATCCTGGTGAGGTTTCACAGAGGCTGGATTGGGACCTGGCCACCCCCAGTTCCCTGGGCAGGTACTTTTGCCTGTACTTTTCCCTCCTGGAACGTCCTGCCCTTGGGACACATTCTGCAGCAGCCACAGGGCCAGGCTTCACTCCAGGACCCAGGCAGGGCCCCGTGTTTGGAGGCGGGGCCCAGTGGGTAAGCGCACTGCTGCCCATGCCCCCCAGTACTGTCGCCCCTCCTTGCTTTCTTGCCTGTCAAGGCAGCCCTCGTCTTCCTTGAAGGATGGACTGGGCTGGAACACTGTGTCCTCCCATTCTGACAAATGAATGCAGGGAAGGGACATTTTGCCCAGTTCCGA